TGTTTAAACCGATTGAGAGAGGGATGGGTGGCAATCCGTTTTTAACTTGCAAATTGGATGCACACATCAGAAGGTTAAGAACCTTCCTCTCATCCACAGTTTATCCACCCAAACACACCTCAAGCTGCTAGAGTTAAATGCCCAAATAGGCCTTTAGTATGGCTGTTAAAAAAAAAATTTTAAAGCCTTTTCTGGTGCCATTGAGAAGCACTACTCCGGTTTTTAGAAGAAAAGAAACTCCACAATCAGAAATCTGGGAAATACTGGGGCAGGGAATGTCTGGTATGTTTTTGATGAATCAGAGGGGCCTCCTTGTATGTTTAGGATTCCAGCTCTCATCCGAAGATAAATGACAATGTCTGGCGTCCTTGCCTTGGTCCGGATTGCAGAAATGTAGCAAAGCTCTACAAAGGAGCTGTTTTTCTAGGCTTGTATTGTGTGCAATAGCTCAAAAGGGAAGGATAATTTCTAAAATTGTTTTATTTATCAGGGCTGCAGTCCTATGAATTCAAATTCAGAAGTAATCCTTCGTCTGATAGGGCTTAATCCCAGATGCCAGCAAGTGTGAACAGTATTGCTGCCGCAAGATTCATTCCTGTACAACAACCTTTGACAACCTGGTGCACTTCAAACGTTTTGGACTAAAGTTCCCATCAGCCCCAGCCTGCCAGTTACTTCAGCATCTATAATTATTATTACTACTGCTGCTGCTACTACTACTATTTCGTTGAGGTTACAACGACTACTGCATAAAGTTTATTTAGCACCAATTCTTATAGAATCATAGAATTGTAGAGTTGGAAGAGACATCTAGTCCAACCCCCTGCAATACGGGGGGGGGGGGGTGGAGCTAAAAGGTTGTGAAGATTGAGAAGGTTGAGCAGCTGCAAGGAAGGATATCAGGCATAGGCAAACTCGGCCCTCCAGATGTTTTGGGACTACAACTCCCATCATCCCTGACCACCGGTCCTGTTAGCTAGGGATGATGGGAGTTGTAGGCCAAAAACATCTGGAGGGCCGAGTTTGCCTATGCCTGGATAACATCATCAAAATGGCAGTTTTCATAGTAGCATATCATGTTTAATCAGTTTGATTAATCGGTTAAAACACATTGATACCTTCAGTTGATTGCACAGAAGATGGTTCACTTATAAAAATTGTTTTTAATAAATACTTTAAAAATTGCAAGCAAGAACCTTAGAAGAGACTCCTGGATCACGCCAATGGCCCATCTATTCCAGCACCCTGTCCTCACAGTGGCCGATCACAGAATCATAGAGTTGGAAGGGACCACGAGGGTCATCTAGTCCAACCCCCTGCAATGCAATAATATTTTGCTCCACGTGGGGCTCAAACCCACAACTCTGAAATTAAGAGTCTCATGCTCTGCCAACTGAGCTGTGTGTGTCCATGAGAAGCCTATAGGCAGAACCTGAGCACAAGAGCTCTCTCTTCTCCTGTGTTTTCCAGCAACTGGTATCCAGAAGCATTGATGCCTCTTCTAAAACAATGCCTGTTGCAACACATTCATGTGTCATCTAAAAATGAGGAGAGCGTGCTTTTCTCTCTATTCTTTTCTCATTCTAAGCTCTGTATTGTAATTACAGAACAATACCTTTTCTTATTGCTGTGCCGTCTGCTGAAGAGGACAGCAGCAGAAGGTATTGCAGACCTGCATTGCACTCTGGGTTCCGCCAACACCTGTGTCTGCATGTCACTTCTCAACTTTTGCCTGCAAAACCTCACCTGCCCAGACCTTGAAAAGAAAGAAGAACAGGACGTAACAGGTAGTGTAGTTTAATGGGCAAACACCAATGCAAACAAACAAGGACCTAACAAACGAGGCAGAGTCAGGACAGCGGGGAAAGTACTTCTTCACACAGCAGATTGTTAAACTATGGAAATCACTTCCACGGGACTACCAAGTTGGATGGCTTTAAAAGGGTGGATAAATTCATGATGTAAAGATGGTATATTACACCTGTGAAATGAGCCAAAATGTATAAGATAAATAATAAACGTTGGAAATGTGAAGAAAAAGAAGGAACATTTTATCATATGTGGTGGGAATGTAAGAAAGTAAAGAACTTCTGGGAAATGATATATAATGAGATGAAAAAGATGTTGAAATATACATTTTTAAAGAAACCAGAAGCATTTTTACTTGGTATTATAAATGAGGATATTAATAGACAGGATGGTAAATTGTTCTCATATGCAACAACAGCGGCAAGAGTATTGTTGGCCCAGAAATGGAAGCAAGAAGAAATACCGACGAAAGAAGAATGGCAGACAAAATTAACAGACTACGCAGAATTGGATAAAATGACAGGAAGGATGAAACCTGCGGGACCAACCAGATATTTACAGAAGATTGGAAGAAATATATGAACTATTTTAAGAGCAATTGTAATCAACAAATTACGCTAGTAGGACTACAAGAAGTTTTGTAAGGAGAAACATATAAAATATTGCAAAGAAGAGAGATATTAGTTATGAGATTTAAATGTAATAGTGAAAGTAAGAAATGTATATTAAGTGAAAAGATTGGAAAATTTTCAGATGTGTTTGATGGAAGTCAAAAAATGGTATAAGATATAAAAGTATGTTTAATAATTGTTGAAAATGATACGTTAAAAAACTAATAAAAAAATATAAAAAATTTAAAAGAGTGGATAAATCCAAGGCTCTCAGTGGCTCCTAGCATCTTGTTGACCATTGTGGGAACAGGAGGCTGAACTAGATGGAGCTTGAAGTGGCTTCTTCTGGTCCAAAACATCTGGAGGGAACCAGGTTGGGAAAGACTGGCAGAGTTTTGTCGAAATGCTGGGGGGGGGCAGACAAATCAGAACAGAATATGCTCGAGTTTTCACAGCAAACCCCAAAGCACAGCAGTGAAGTGTTTTGCTAAACACGTCCTTCGCCCTTGCAGCTAACAGGAAGCTGGCAACTTTTAACTTAACCACCCTTCCTGGTGCGGAATGACTTATGTGCCTTTCCCTACAACCACCCCACATTTGTGCCAGCCCAGGCCATGGGCAGTGCTGGAGAGGCAGGCGCCAAATCCCTCGTGGAGAAGGAAGGATTGAGATTCCCCAGCTGAGCTGAAGCTTTGCTGAATGACAAGAGATGTGTAGTTTTAGCTCCCAAGGCAGGCGTGCCGTGCTTGTGGAGGCACGCAACTTGCTGAGGTCTGGTTCCATATGAGGGTGAATCATCTTTCTAAGAGGAGAAAGTGAGTCAGGAGGAAAGCTCTCTTTGTACAGGCTTATTATATGCCAGTCCCCCCTGCTGTTTTGCCCGGGAGTCAGGGAGAAATATCCACTCTTGCTAATGACATGTTGCAGCTGGGAATAATAAAAGGTGTGGCTCATTATTCCAGCCCCACCCAGCCTTTCCTTTGTGTGCTGTTGTGCATCCAAATGTTGGTTATTTAGTTTAGAGCAAACTGGCAGGTCCTAGGGTTTCTTTGTTGTTGTTCTTTTAAAAAAACCAAGGTGTCCACATTCTCGTTATGGGTCCTTGCACATGTGCACGTGCATTATTTCCAACAACGCTTAATTTAAAGCACACGTTCCTAGTGATACGAATCTTGGGGTGCTTCCAAGGATGGGCTTAATATGGTAAACGTATCACAAATGGGACATTGGTCACATTCCTGCCCAAAAGGTAAATCTGGATCCAATTATTGGGGGTGGGGGAATACGGGCTGGGGTTTAGAAGCCAGAATGTCGTATGGACCATGCAAAAAAAAAAATTGCACGCAGGAGGAGCACCCATCTGCCAATCTGGAAATTAGAACCAAACGTCAATCCCTCCCCTTCTCTGCTGCAGGGCACAAATACAGGGTGGTCAGCTGGGGCTCTTGCACCTTTAATAGGTCTGCAGAAGAGGGAAGTTCATCAGAAGTACGGTACCTTGTTGTTCAGTGATGCAAGGGCATGTATGAACTGGCCCCAAAAGAGGCTCTTTTCCTGCTTTCTAACCCATGCTAAGAGATCTCTGAATGTTCCTTTGATGGAACAGACTTGTTTCTCAGCAAGATATGTTGCACCCAGCCCTGACTTTATGGGGACCAAACTGGCTTGAAGGCAAGCACTTCCAATGCAATGCAAGCACTCCCACTCTTGTCTGTGGGCTGGCTGTATCCAGATCAATCCATGGAGGGTATAGAGACACTGGAAGCAGTGGGAAGCTGTAGCCTAAAGAACAGTAGGTCCTGTTCGGTTGACCTTGCAAAGGCAGAATGCCTGGCTCCTAGTATTTACAAGGCCCTGGCCAATTTAAAGCCTTCGTGTTGCTTGCCAGTTGCAGATGTTAACATCTGTCCCGTTCTGCCTGGACTCCTGGATCAGTTTCAGGAAGCTCATCAAGTTCAATGTCCACCCCGACCTTGAGAATCCCAGATTGCTCCCAGTAGTCCTAGATTGTTTTAGGAATGCAGTAGGATGGTGTGTGGGTAAGGGGAATTTTAAAATAGCAAATTAAAGATCAGAATGCAATGCATTTAAAACAACAACAACAACTAATAGGGCTCACTAATAAACATTCCATAGGGATGGAGCAGGTACTGAAGATAATGTCCGAGACTGCCAAATCGCCACCCACAACAGGCCACTAGCAGAGAATGTGAGCAAGCACAGTGTGCTAGGCCTGTGCAGCAGGAACTTCCAGTTGATGCACCAAAGCCTTAGGGAGGGCTCTGCAGTGAGGATGCAGGGAAAAGCCTTCTCCCCCTTTTCGGATTCCCATTTTAGGAAACCTACCTGTTCCACCAGGCCTTTGGAGGTGTTTAATACCTGAAAGCGTACTATGTCTAGTTTCAAAAACTCTCTTTATTCTGGTTTTAACACAGACAGCTTTAACTTGCCTTAATGATCTTTTTCTTTTTTTAATGCACCAAATATTGTCCTGGGAGCTTGGCAAAGTGGAAAGTGTAGCCTGGCTTAGCTATACTCTCCCTGCAGGCTGGAGTACACAAGGGATACAATTCAAACGGCAAACGTTTCAAAAGAGTTTAATTAAACGAAGAAAAATTATCCCTAATGGCTAGCGTACGCTGCTAGTGATTCTCAACGTAATCTGCTTCGGTGGTAGCCCTTGAACCCGCCACGGACTGGAGGCTAGCGCTGCCTTGAGGGACCTTCGGTGAGACATTCAGCTCCTGGGAAACAGCAGGAGAGAGGCTTGTCTCCGACCTTATGCTTTCGTCATCCTTGTTCTCAGCATCCTGCGTCCCGATAGGCTGAAGCGTATGAGGGATAAATCTGTGGCGTGGGCATCCAATGATGCCGATCCTGCCAGAGAAGAAGAGAGCAGCCAGGTTGTTGAGTGGATGCCCACCTGTTACACCTGGGCTAAGGGAACTGCACTGGCTGAGCTACAGCGTAGGGGTTATACTCCACCACTTAACACGATGGCAAAGTGGTTGGGGTGCTATATCGGGACTGGGGAGACCAAGGTCCAAATGCCCATCTTGGCTATGAAGCTCACCGTGTGACCTTGTAGCAATCATCACCTCACAAGGCCAAACTAGGCAATACCTGAGCTCCCTATCTGTGCCCTGAAATGCAAGTTTGTTTTTCAAAACAGTATGCATTTAAAATAATAATTAAAACACTGCACTTAAGGATACAGCTAATGTCTAGTTTGGCCCTCGGGTCTCCCTCGCAGGTGATTTCTGAGAAGTTTCTAACCATAATTACCTTGAATTTCTGCTTAACCCTCAAGAAAGAAGGGCATTCTCGCTGGCCAGGTTTAATTCAAATCCATCAGACCTCCTTTGGGGAAGGTTCTCAGGCAGGGTGGAAGGAGAAAGAACTTGCCCATGTGAAGACCACCTGGTAGAAACCCTTACACATACTGTTTTCAATTGTAAACTATATGCTGATCTCTGCCAGCAATTTTTATATCAACTCTGTATCCCCAAATGGAAACCAGAGTCAGAGGTCATACATTTTCTATTACTGGGGAATGATCAGGAGCTCACCAAGTTAGTGGCTGAATATCTCTATTTGGTTTTTTGTCGTCAAAATACGCCGCAGACGTCTGATCTCCCTGGAGACCAAGAGATGTGACGATAGACTGCTCTGCCTCCTTTCTTTTAGCAAATGTTTTGTGCCACTGGGGAAGTGGTAATTCTGTATTGATTTGTTTTGGATGTTGTATGTGATGCCAATAAAGGTTTTACGATACGATTTCTGAGAATAAAATGGGTGTCTGGAGAACCAGGTAGGCTGCCTTGTGCTCCTTGGAGAACGGGCAGGATAAGAAACAAAGAGATAAAGATGGGAGAGTCTGGTAGCTGGAGTCCCCTTCTCCCGGTTTTCTGCTTTTGGGGTAAAGCAGACGGAATTGTTGCCAGGCGGAACAAACAGACAGACAGGATGCATGTCACCAAAACCAACGTAGTCCATTGGCCTGAATTTGTTGGCCTCCGTCTGTCTCGGGAGACAATGGAGGAGTGTGCCTTTTGGGGTGAGGTCAAGCCGTTCTTATCAAAACGCAATGGTTAAGCCAGTGTTTCCCAACCTTGTGCCTCCAGCTGTTTTTGGACTACAACTCCCATCATCCCTTGCCACTGGTCTTGCTAGTCAGGGATGATGGGAGTTGTAGTTCAAAAACAGCTGGAGGCACAAGGTTGGGAAACACTGGGTTAAGCATTCATTGGATCCTATTCTGCTAGCTTTCCTCTCTTTTGCTCTAGCAGGGTCTTCAATGTCCTTTTGCTTTCCCCATGGCCATCACATGAACAAACAAGGCAGATGCACCCAATACATTTAGAGCACATTGAAATAGGCTTGAAACTATGAGTAACTCAGATATACTTGTGAGACAGGCCACTGCTCCCTGTTAGAATTTGTGGTCACGTATTGCGTAGAAAAGCCCTGCATTCCTTACTTGGGTTCTGGCACGACAGAGGAAAAGGGTGGCAGCTCTTCAGGACTGTAGGCTGGCTGACTTCTGCCAGCATGGAGGTAATGGTCCTGGAAAAGGTACTGAGCGCTGTCTTTAGGCATCGGCAGCAAGGTGCTCAGCACCGGCGATCGCTGGTCCATGACGCTTCGGATGGCTGGCTGCCTTACATCGGTGCTCCTTTAAGAAATAGTTTTTAAAAAATTTTAAAAAAAATGAATAAGGGAAAGGTGTTCAAGTAAGGGTGAAGTCATACAGGGTACCTCCCGACTGACAGCATTTTGCAGGCTTTGGGGATGCAGAATTCAATCACATACTGGAAATTTAGATATGCAGAATTACGGTAAAATGGATTAAAGTGCTCTATTGCCTCAGGGAAACAAATATACTAAAAAATATGGATATATATTTTTTGTAATTAGGAAAATGACAAGGAAATGCATTGAAAAACATGGGATGAATGAATGACCAAGGGGAAAGTACGTATTTTTCGCTCTATAGGACGCACCAGACCACAAGACACACCTAGTTTTTGGAGGAGGAAAACAAGAAAAAAAATATTCTGAATCTCAGAAGCCAGAACAGCAAGAGGGATCGCTGCGCAGTGAAAGCAGCAATCCCTCTTGCTGTTCTGACTTCTGTGATAGCTGTGCAGCCTGCATTCACTCCATAAGACACACACACATTTCCCCTTACTTTTTAGGAGGGAAAAAGTGAGTCTTATAGAGCAAAAAATACAGTATGTGAATACATGAGATACAATAGCCATCTTCAAATATCTCAAGGGCTGTCATAGAAGATGGAGCAAGCTTGTTGCTCTGAAGTGTAGGACTTGACCCAATGGATTCAAGTTACAAGAAAGGAGATTCCGACTAAACACCAGGAAGAACTTTCCGATGGGAAGAAGAAGAGTTTGGATTTGATATCGCGCTTTATCACTACCCGAAGGAGTCTCAAAGCGGCCAACAATCTCCTTTCCCTTCCTCCCCCACAACAAACACTCTGTGAGGTGAGTGGGGCTGAGAGACTTCAGAGAAGTGTGACTGGCCCAAGGTCACCCAGCAGCTGCATGTGGAGGAGTGGGGAAGCGAACCCGGTTCACCAGATTACGAATCTACCACTCTTAACCACTACACCACACTGGCTCCCACTGTGCGACAGTGGAACAGTCTCTTTCAGGAGGTTGTGGACCCTCCTTGCTTGGAGGTGTATAAGCAGAAGTTGGACAGTCATCTGCCATGGATGCTTTGGCTGAGATTCCTGCATTGCAGAGGGTTGGACTAGAGGACCCTTTCGGTCCCTCCCAACTCTACAATTCTATGATCCTCAGGCTGGAATGTGCCCTACAACTACAATAATGCCTCTTGTTCACCTGGATGGAGACGATATGTGCAGAAAATTCTGACTTTTGTATGGTTGGAATGTAACCTACTGCAGGCTCCAGCCACTTCTGGCATATGGCCTTGGCAGGACTTTGGGCTAAAAAAAAATGTTCCCCACCCTCGATATAAATCTCTGCAATGCATCCAATAACGGAGGGGAGCGGAGAAGAGAGAAAATGAGGCCATACTTGCGATAGCGGAAAGTGACCTTCTTCACCTCCTTGGTCACGTCTGTTTTCAACTCCTTGGGTTTAGCTGTCTCTCTCAGAGCAGGATTGAATATGTTTGAGCGGAGCAGCCGGCCAACTTCCCGCTGGATTTCCTTGAGGTTCTTCTGTCTGAACGTCACAAAAGCCACGTAGGAGGAGAAGTTGTACAAGCACTAAATGCAAAAATGAAAATGGAGGTGATCTACTCTATTGTTGCAGCTTATCCGAAAGATGAGACAACCCTTAGCTGCTCTGTTCCTCCAGGCAACCGCTCTTACCTCAAAGAACTCCCTGTCTTTCTGTGTTGTTGATATTTTCCTCCTAAAATGTGGAAGAGAAGAATGAATCCACAGACAGCAACAGAGAAAGCACCCCATAAACATCTTCCTAAATGAAAGGGAGTTTCCTCGACATTCTGTCACAGTCTAGCATGACCAAGAAACAGAATCAAGACCAAACGCTGGCAGGTAAAATTCATTCCCGTGCCCCAATGAAACTACCAAGTGGGGGGTCCCAGCCTGCAGTTTCCTCTTGCCAAAATGACAGGGGCCCCACAAATGCAGTTTCAGACTACCTGCTGAACGCATTCATCCTGATTTGTTTGCAGGGAGGTTAGACAATGTTGCATCAAAGCAAGCGTTATCTCATGATTCCCAGTGCATTTCCCCCCACTTCTTTATTGCAAAAAAAACACCCAAAACAATCTTTTGGGGAAGTGGGTTTGTTGCTTTATTTCAGATATTTAAATAATACTTAATAGTCAGAATTTCTAAGTAGGGTAAAAAAGGGTTTGGGGAAAATATAAAAACATCTAACCATACAGAGAATAAGAACAATTAAAAATCAACATAAAATCAGAACACTACCTTAAAATGCTGGTTGAAATAAGAAAGTTGTGGGACAACTATTCTCATATAACTGACATGCTTAACTCTAATTAATGCATGAAGGGGTTAATACAATAGAGTAAGCTGTCCTGCCAGGCTTATTTCCTTTACCATGGGAGGAAATAGGTAATCAAGCCTATTGTCCCCATCCCTCCCCACTCTACCTGAGAAGCTCAGCATGAGAAGAAGTTTGAGCTTGCTGCTCCAACTCAGCCGCATGGCTCTCACCAGCCATTCTTGAGTTCCTATACCGATAATCTGGGAACCCTTACCACTTTGTTACTGTCTTTGTTTCACGGTCTGAAGCACATGAATCCAACCTTTAGACAGTATGTAAGTAAACCAGTTTTTACTTTGCTGAACATGTGCTCTTATCCTATGCTGGGGGGTAGTGAGGGAATTTGGAAGCAACGTAGAAGGCATACTACGGTAAGTATTTGCCCCAAACCTGGATCTTGGCATCCAGGAATTATTCAACATGGAGGGTCCTTGTCTAATCTCAGTTGGGAGGGAATTTCAGGCTTCAGCCCCAACCCAGGCGACATGGTTTCTAGCAGTTACAAGCCATGGAAGCTGAGCCATGGGGCACCACCAAGAGACTTCCTTAAGATCTCAATGATCAGGCTGGGATGTAAGGGATTCACCAATCCTTATGATATTCTGGATCCAATTTTTTAAGGGCTTTGTAAATTAATTCAGGGATGTAGGTGGCGCTGTGGGTTAAACCACAGAGCCTAGGACTTGCCGATCAGAAGGTCGGTGGTTCAAATCCCCGCGACGGGGTGAGCTCCCGTTGCTCGGTCCCTGCTCCTGCCAACCTAGCAGTTTGAAAGCACGTCAAAGTGCAAGTAGATAAATAGGAGCAGCAGAAAACAGCCTTTCTCCCTCCTCTAACCTCCTCTAACCTTCCTAACCTCAACTCTGGACTAAAACTCCCATCAGCTCCAGCCAGGATAGGCCGCTCTAAATTTATTTATTTTGTTAAATTTTATATACTGGCCTTCATCGTAAGATCGCAAGGTAGTTCACAATATAAAAACACAAAAATATGTAACATAATAACAAAACAATACCCCCCCCCTTTAAAAGACCACAGATTGTTTAATTAGCCAAAGGCCTAGTTATAGAGGAAAGGTTTTGCCTGGTGCCTAAAGTTATGGAACGAAGGCGCAAGTTATGGAACTTGTTGAGCTTTTTTTAAAGGATTTTACCTCAGGAGCTACACTGCCACAACAGGGGCCGGATTAAACCGACCGGCGGGCCAGATTAGCCCCCCCGAAACGGACTAAGTCACCAGCCCTTTGGGGCCTAAGAGCGATATATATAATATTCAGAGACCTAAAGTTATGGAACGAAGGCGCCAAGCGAGCTTTCCTGGGTGGAGGAGTCCCCAAATGGGGAGCCAGGGCAGAAAAGGCCCCCTTCTCATGTTGCCACCTTCAGGATTGGCTCTAGCAGTCAGCAGCTTACAGACCTTCCCCAGGAATACAGTTCCTGAAATTTTACATTTTCAGACGTGTGCTAAAGTTCTCTATGCCAGTTTCGAAAGCTCCCTTCAGGTTGCCTGAAACAGTTGGGCATCTCTATGCTCAGCCCTGCTCTTTCTTTCTTTCTTTCTTTCTTTCTTTCTTTCTTTCTTTCTTTTCTTTCTTTCTTTCTTTTCTTGACAGTGGAATTCAAGGCTCTTTTTGACCAGGGGCAGATAAGAAGAAGAAGAGGAGTTTGGATTTGATATCCCGCCTTTCACTCCCCTTCAGGAGTCTCAAAGCGGCTAACAATCTCCTTTCCCTTCCTCCCCCACAACAAACACTCTGTGAGGTGAGTGGGGCTGAGAGACTTCAGAGAAGTGTGACTGGCCCAAGGTCACCCAGCAGCTGCATGTGGAGGAGCAGGGAAGAGAACCCGGTTCCCCAGATTAGGAGACTACCACTCTTAACCACTACACCACACTGGCTCTCGATATAAGGATCTTCCTAATATGGTCCTGGTGCTGTCTACTTATATTCCTTAAAAATTAACCACCAGGTAAGCAGCCTTTCTCAGCCTCCTGGCTGCCAGTTGTTTTCTGGGCCCTGTTCAAGATGCTGAAAAATCCCAAGTCATTTGGCTTTTCATGAAAAAAATGCAGCAATGGGGGAAGCTCCAGCTCTGAATTTCTGCCCAACATGCAAGTATCTAAGGTACAGAATGCAAAGGTGGCACCCTGTATTTATTTTCACTCTATCCCTGCAGCTGAATCGGGAGGGGGTGGGTGTGTGTGTGTGTGTGTGTGTGTGTTTGCAATACTTGGAATTCAGAGCCAGGCTTTCTGGTTGGGTCACTGAACAATTTTGTCATGCTGACTCTTGCATGCACAGCATTTTTGGGCTGGGCCACCGACTGTACTCAGCCTACAATTAACCACGGAGTTGGTGCGGCTCACCCTGCCGAATCGACAAGAAGAGGGAAAATAACTCCCTGTGCCGCAAGCGACGAGGATGGCTGACAGGACGCTGCTGAACCTGCAGTTGTGCAGCACCTGCGGGTGGCAAGGCACCGCCCAAGATCACACAGATTTTGCTGCTACAGAAGCAGAAGGCAGCGGCTCTCCTGTGTCTCAGGTGTGTTGGCAGCCCAGCTGCCTCGTATCAATTGGCTGCAGATGCAACGAACTGAACCCAGGACATGACGCTGTCTGTGTTTGTTTGTTTGTTGTTTTGATTTCAACCTTTATTATACAAAGAACTTAAAATACATACAATATAAAACATTACATTTCAGACATTACAAATTATAACTATACAAAAGAATATAGAAGAAGAAAGAAAAGAAATAGAAAAAGAGGTAGAAGATGATTTTATTTACAATAAAAAAGAAACTTCCGGCTATACCCGTTGTACTATTTTGAAATAAATTCTTTTTTACACAGTTTCCTGAAAATGCAAAGTGCATGCACATGCAGGAGAACAAAGCTCGGAGTCAGGGCGTGTCCCTTGTTTCGGGTTTGGCACTTCAACACAAGGCAGGAAAGAAAGAAAGAAATGTGGCGGTGTTGAGTACCTGTTCCCCGCACAAGGGGAGTCCTTTGGCAGGCTAGGCGGCCCAGGGAGAGGGAACACAAATAATACCAAGGTGCCAAGCTGCTTTTAGGGATTGCAGGTACCCTTAAAAATCATGGGTGGTGCCTGAGGTTGGCAGGGTTGAGCAGCTGCTGGGATCGTAGCACAAGGGTGCAGCAGGTGTTCTGCATGAAGAAGGTCCCAGGTTCAGTCCCAGGTATATCAAGTTGAAAGGGGTCTAATCGTAGCAGGTGAGGTGGAAAGGATTGAGATCTCAGAGAGCCACTGCCAGTCAGAATAGATAACAGGTGGGCAGGATGGTGAAATGGATCTCCTTTGAGGCAGCTTCCTACGACCCGGAAGCCAGCGCTGTCTGCTTGGTTTTCACTCTGTGCACAGCTGGCTCTGAGGCAGCACAGGTTGTCTGTAACCTTCCCAAACCTTTCATGGACCCAAGCAGCTGCGAGCCAGACACCTCAATGAGCTCTGGGGCATTTTCTTGCTCCATGCACCTCAGCAGATGTCCCTCTGCCTGCTCTACCCTATGAGGCCCTCCAAGGTTCAAGTGCCCAAGCCTCACTCAAATCCTAACCCTAGGACGGGAACGGGGGGGGGGGGCACAAAACTCTTGATTCCACAGGAACACACTGAGTCAAGAGATTGTAAAACATGGTACTCGGGGACTCTGCGTTCCTGCCAAGTCTGCTAACCCCAGCTAAGGCCTCGCTGGAATTCTTCCTGCAAGTTAATTTGGCTGAGTCCTGCTGCTTCTCCCTGGAATCATATCAGTAAAAGCTCATCCCTGGGCAATGTGCTCCCCGGCAGCCTTCACTTTCCGACTGGGAGTCTGCGCGTCTTTAAGGGTGCTCTCCTAAAGCTGCCGAGACAACCTCTCCTCTCTCCGTTCCGGCAGTCTCAAGGGCTTTCTGAAAAAGCACAGGTCAGCAGGCCCTCGCAGCAGGTCACGTCCAGCTAAACAGGAAGGCCAATCCCCACGGGGACTTTGGCGCTGAATAAATGCAGCTTTGGTTTTGAACGCGGAGCATGAGCTTCCTGCCAACAACAAAACAGCCATGCAAGCTTTGGGGAGTGTAACCAATCTGAAATAAAGCTGCCGCTGTTTGTTTCTCTTGCTCTGCACCATCACGAAGCTCAGAGAAAGGATGCCCGAGCTGGTGCAGGAGAAATAAACTCGACTCAAAAAACATTTATGAGTCAAAGAAATGACCTGCCAAGGTTGACCTGTGCTTTGCATATAGTTAAAGCTATGGTTTTCCCAGTAGTGATGTATGGAAGTGAGAGCTGGACCATAAAGAAGGCCGATTGTCGAAGAATTGATGCTTTGGAATTATGGTGCTGGAGGAGACTCTGGAGAGTCCCATGGACTGCAAGAAGATCCAACCTATCCATACTTAAGGAAATCAGCCCTGAGTGCTCACTGGAAGGACAGATCCTGAAGCTGAGGCTCCAATACTTTGGCCACCTCATGAGAAGAGAAGACTCCCTGGAAAAGACCCTGATGTTGGGGAAGATGGAGGGAACAAGGAGAAGGGGACGACAGAGGATGAGATGGTTGGACAGTGTTCTCGAAGCTACCAGCATGAGTTTGACCAAACTGCGGGAGGCAGTGGAAGACAGGAGTGCCTGGCGTGCTCTGGTCCATGGGGTCAAGAAGAGTCGGACATAACTAAACGACTAAACAACAACAACAACAGTGGTACCTCGAGTTACAGATGCTTCGGGTTACAAACTCTGCTAACCAGGAAGTGGTTGCTCCAGGTTAAGAACTTTGCTCCAGGATAAGAACAGAAATCGCGCAGCAGGAGGCCCCATTAGCAAAAGTACGCTTCAGGTTAAGAACGGACCTCTGGGACAAATTAAGTTCTTAACCCGAAGTACCACTGTATAAGAGTTTGGGGCTTTTTCCTGCCCTTCGAAGCCACATACTGGAAGAAAACCAGTGAGAATGAGTGATTCAAAGCAGGCAAGGCTCAAGTATGCCATCTCTTCTCCCCAGTACCAACCCTTCTCTCCAGTCCTCTTTCCACCGCCATTAGTGTTATTAGCTGCCTGGGGGCAGTGAAGGATCAGCCTGACTTGTACCTGAACCTTTAGCAGCAGAAACCAGCAGATTAAGTTTCTCACAACACAAGAGGACCACCTGGTAACGCCTACTGATCAAGCTGCAACAGAGGCCAGCTGAAGAGATTGGCTAGAGAACATAAGAAGGGGAACTCTCTAGAGCAGGCCTGAGCAGAAGGCAAATAGGTGGGTAGCTTGCTGCAAGACTCCCAATTGTTTAAAACCCTTAAAACCCTAAATCAGGCTGCAGAAATGAACAAAGCTAAGCAGGAACAGGTTTGGGGGGAAAGAACTATGAGCTCAGGTCAAATCCCTTGGCTCAGAGGAACCCCATTCCTTAATTTTAACTGTAAGCCATCTATGAGAAGGAAAACTCTGGTCCTGAACCTCCGCTGCCTTGTGGGATGTCTTGAGGAGTAAACCCTACACAAATCCAGAGTGAAGTGCCTAAGGCGATTGGATGGCGCCTTCCAGCGACTCCTGCAGCCAAGCTGGTGCCAAACGTCTTGCTCTGCTTTCCTTTGGACCACATCAACGAGTCTGAGAAGGGGTGGTGTCTTGTCGTCCTGGCAGCCCAGGACCTCCAGACACAATGCCCAGGCTTGTGCCCTGGGGAGGTCACTTGGTGCTGCTAACAAAGTGGTTTGACTTCACCTCCCGACGCTCCATTGTCTCTTGAGAAAGAGAGATGTCAACACATGCCCTTTGTACCTGGTCCTTGTTCAGGTTCTTGCAAACAAAACCTACAAAATGGATCCAGCAAGCCTGAAGCCTGAATGCCCCTGCTCTAGAGCAACTGGTAAGACTGGTAGGCTTTGGTTCGGGAGCTGTCTTATTGCCTTCTGAACAAAATTCTGTTGCGGTGCTTTTAACAGACGCTTAATCTGCAGCAAGCAGAAGGAGATTGTCTTTGTCTCCATAGCATGAAAAGCCTTGTTTGCTGAGTTCTGCATAGAAAATATCTGCTAAACTCGCAAGAGCAGGCTACGCTGGTTTTTCTTCCCGGAGATGGCAACCTTAATGGGAGTGGAAGCAGTGCTGGGAAATAGGGGCTGCTGTGTTTTCATGGGCTTTGTAAGGTGGCAGTCACCGCAAGGGACTTGGCCCAAGGATTTTAAAATAAATTTTTAAAAAGTACTTGCCCTTCCCCATGGTGACCTTCTTCATACTGTGAAATCCGTCCCACTTCTTTGCGTGTTGAGATGTTCCAGAGGCACAGAGCTTACTCAAGTTTCATTTCCTTTGGAAGAAATTGCCAGAACTTCTGTCATGTAATATTTGCCCTTCTTTATGAACGTACGCATTGAGCAGAGATGGAGGAAAGTCCGCTGCTCACACATCAGATCTCCAGGGGAAATAGCCAGCAACCTACCGTATTTTTCGCTCCATAGGGCGCACTTGACCATAGGGCGCACCTAGTTTTCAGAGGGGGAAATCAAGGGAAAAATATGATTCCCCCCCCACACACACACAGCTCTGGGAGCAGCAGTCAGGCTGTGTGCAGCCTGTGCACTTCTCCCAGACCTCCTCCCTGCTTTTGCGGGAGGTGGGGGAATTCCCCCATCTCCCGCAAAAGCCCACAGGAGGGAGAAGGGACTGACGCAGCCAGTCAGTCCCTTGTCCCTCCTCGAGGAAAATCCCCCAAGAGCGGCACACTCTTTAAAGGGTGTGCAGCTCCTGCAGGCTTTTCTATGAGGTGGGGGAATTCCCCCACCTCGTAGAAAAGCCAGCAGAAGCCGCACACCCTTTATAGAGTGTGCGGCTTTTGCGTGCTTTTGCGGGTGGTGGGGGAATTCCCCCACCTCCTGCAAAAGCCCACAGGAGCTGCGCACCCTTTAAGGAGCGCACGGCTTCTGCTGGCTTTTCTACGAGGTGGGAGAAGGGACTGACACGACCAGTCAGTCCCTTCTCCCTCCTCAGGGAAAAGCCTCAAAGACCAGGTCGGGGAGCAGCGCAAAGGCGGCACACCGCCTTCCCACTCCCCCCCCGAGCTTACCCTGAAGCCAAGGAGCCTGCATTCGCTCCACAGGACGCACACACATTTCCCCTTAATTTTTGGAGGGGGAAAAGTGTGTCCTATAGAGTGAAAAATAAGGTAAATGCTAAGACTCAGGTATCTCTCTCCAAAATTACTCAAACTGCCAGCGGCAGCTAGGGATCATCCTTTGCTAGGAGCGTGGGAATAAAGGCATGGCCCCCCCTTCCAAGTATGTCATAGCTATTCAGAAGAGTAAGAGTGCCTAAAAATTACTTACCACAGATGCACATTGCCAGATTTGTGCAGTCTACCAACACACCATTGCCAAGCCCAAAACTCTCTGGCAAGGCATTGTGATAAGGCAGCCGACAGTGGTAGCCCTAATCACAGAAATCTGATAGCAAATATTGTAATGAGTTTTGTTAAGTTGCAACAGCTATTTGCATGCTACCAGATCCTGAACACATTCACCCAGAGGCTATGACTGCTGATTTTAGTGACTTCTAAGGAAAAATGATGAGAATTTTAGCCTGTGATCCTAACTGATGTTATTTTGGAATTTGTCACACTAAGTTCATTGGGACCTTACGGCACCAATAATTTTTTTGCTTAAGACTGTACCCTTGCACAGATTTCCTGAGTGCAGGTTTACCTGGAAGTTATGCAACCTTACTTGAAAACAAGCCAAGCCTTCTACTGAGTTAGGCCATTGGCTCATCCACACTACAGAATTGTAGAATTGTAGGAAGGGACCATGAGGGTCACCTTGTCCAATCCCCTGCAATGCAGAAAACCTTCGCCCAACCTGAACCCACAACTCTACCCACGACTGAGCTATCAGCATGTCCTACTTTAAGGTAAAGGTAAAGGTACCCCTGACAGTTAAGTCCAGTCGCGGACGACTCTGGGGTTGCAGCACTCATCTTGCTCTATAGGCCAAGGGAGCTGGTGTTTGTCCACAGACAGCTTCTAGGTCTTGTGGCCAGCATGACTAAGCCACTTCTGGCAAAAACCAGAGCAGCGCACGGAAACGCCGTTTACCTTCCCGCTGGAGCGATACCTATTTATCTACTTGCACTTTGATGTGCTTTCGAACTGCTAGGTTGGCAGGAGCTGTCCTACTTTAATTGGCAGCTATTCTCCAGGATTTCACAAGAGCCCTTCCCATGCCAGGAATTGAACCGGTGACATTTTGCATGCAAAGCAGGTGCTCTCCAGGTGAGCTACAACCCTTCCCCACTGAACTCTCTGGGATTTGCTTCCTGGTGAAAACACTAAGAATCAGGCAGCACATCCCCCTTCAGTTTCCATAAAGGACTCTCAAAGGGCATTGGGTTTGGACAACCCACTCAGAAACCCAAGTTCCTACTTCTTCTGTTCTATTCCCTAGACATCTGCTGCGAAGAGCAGATGGCATTACAGAAAAGCACTTCCTGGGCGCAGCCGTTTCCTTACTTCCCGCAAGCCATGTGATGCTGATCGGACATTCCCAGCCCGAGGATGAGGATGCAGTACAGCTCGGCCAGGTGCTTTTTGGTCACTGCTAGCTTCATTTGGTTCTCCCGCATCTCTTTCCTTTCCAGGGCACTGGGCTTCCTGTTTAACGAAGAAGCAAGTCATTAAAAAAAAGCATTGCACAGAGCACTCTCCCACTCATGGTTAGACGATCAAGAACACTGTGTCTGCACCAGGGAATTCTGACCCAAATGAAAGAAAGCAACAGAAAGATTAGAACATTAAATCATAGGGCTGGAGTGGCACGCCCTGGGATTGCCTAGCAAGACTCTGGTCAGGCAAGCAAGATCTACTATACCTGGACTATCATTAGTAGATTAGGTGATACAAAAGAACAGTAGGGTAATTGCAAATAAGGAGCAGGAAGGACCAAGATGTTGTGTGCTAGAATGTCTCCAGGTAGGTCAGGTGTGGCTAACCTGTGTTCCTCCAGAGGTTGCTGGTCTCCAGCACCCATCAGACTCGGCCAGCAGACCCAATAGCCAGGGGTGATGGGAATCATGGAGCAAGCTTGTTTTCTCCTGCTCTGGTGGTAGGACTTGAATCAGTGGCTTCAAGTTACAAGGAAAGAGATTCCGACTAAACATCATTGGAAGCCGCCCAGAGTGGCTGGGGAAACCCAGCCAGATGGGCGGGGTATAAATAATAAATTATTATTATTATTATCAGGAAGAACTTTCTGATGCCAGTGGGACGGTCTATCTCAGGAGGTTGTGGGCTCTTCATTTGAGGTTTTAAAGCAGAGGTTGGATCACCACCTGTCATGGATGCTTTAGCCGAGATTCCTGCATGGCAGGGGGCTGGGCTAGATGACCCTTGAGGTCCCTTCCAATTCTATGAATGTGATCCAACAACATCTTGGATGGCCACACCTTATTGGCCTCCCTCAAGGCTGGGGATCCTCTGTGGCCATCCAGATGTTGTTGAACCACATTCATAGAACACCTAAGGAAGCGTTGGTGGTGATCTAATCTAAATGGTCTAGTTTAAGATCTCACCTGGGTCAACACAAAACGAAACAGGTAGGTGTTGGGCCATAAGGCAGCTGCCAATTCAAACAAAAGTTGGTTTGACTCATTTGTTTGACCTGTACTCTGTAAGCTGTCTTTGGAAGGTATTTATATTCTGAAAGGCAACCTAATAGTCTGTTACAAGGGGGGGATGGGAAGGACGACATCATTATGGCTGAGCTCCATGCAGGAAATAGCTTTTGCCTGTTGCGGACTCTCCTGAAAACCCCCGGGAAGCAAGAAGGTTGGTGTTCCTTGCCAACACGCAAGGGGCAACAGAGTAGAGATACCCAGGCCAAGGCACTAGTGAAAGTAGGTTTGGGTGCATTTGTGGAGAAAGAAGGGAGAGTTCTGTCCACTTTTCAACGGTTTGTGCAACACCCACCACCCCAGCTTCCGCTGGTCTTAGGCCACAACCACCAATGCAGAACTGACCTCAAACGCAGCCATGAAGAACAGGAGAGGTGGGGCTGACCTGAAAATGCTGAGACACACTGACTCAAGTCTCCTTGTGGAGGAAGAAAGTCAGAAACGACCCAGGAAAGAAGGATGGAACCAGTCAGAGGAGACTGAAGAACACTGGGCTCAAATAGCTCCTGGGATGTGACAAGTGTCCCGCAGAATCACAGGAAATGGTCCTGGACTCCCAACTTCAGACTATTCATCCATTAGTCACCTGAGCACTGGCAACTCTTCAAGGTCTTGAGCTTGAGGCCTCATGGCTTGTGGTCTTTCTAACCAGCACAAATTGGGTCTTGAAGAAAAGCACACCGACACTGAATATATAGAGCAATTGCCCTTTCTAAACATGACGGGACTCCGCTTAAGACACACATCCAAGCGATTTTACTCACCCCATGAAAGATTTGGGTTTCATCTCCAAGGCTAATTTTTCCAGATAAAAATTCAGATAGTACAGCAGAGCCATGAGAAAATCATCTAGCTGCCGGCACCTAGAGCAGATTTTAAAAACAGAGCAAAACACCACGTCACCCATGTAAACTTCTTCACAAGGGAGCAGTTTTCTTTTGCTAAATTCGGCCCACTGGGCAATGGCACCTAGGTACCCTTCACGATAGGGACACGGGTGGCGCTGTGGGTTAAACCACAGAGCCTAGGACTTGCTGATCAGAAGGTTGGCGGTTCGAATCCCCGCGATGGAGTGAGCTCCCATTGCTCGGTCCCAGCTCCTGCCAACCTAGCAGTTCAAAAGCACATCCAAGTGCAAGTACAGTGGTGCCTCGCAAGACGAAATTAATTCGTTCCGCAAGTCTCTTCGTCTTGCGAGTTTTTCGTCTTGCGATGCACGGTTTCCCATAGGAATGCATTGAAAATCAATTAATGCGTTCCTATGGAAACCGCCTTCAGACCAGGTTCGGGGACAGTCTGTCCCCCGACCTCTTCTGAAGGCTGGGGGGGGGGGAAACAAGGGCTTTTCTTCCCACCCCCAGCATTTTAAAAAACCCTGGGACAGCGGAGGACTTCTCCGCTGTCCGGGGCGATCTTAAAATGCTGGCGGGCGGCATTTTAAAATCGCCCCGGGACAGCGGAGGACTTCTCCGCTGTCCCGGGGCGATTTAAAAGCCCCTGGGAAGGCAGGCAGGGGGGACAAAGACTTTTGCCCCCCGCCAGCCTTCAGAAGAGGTCCTGGACCTCTTCTGAAGGCGGGCAGGGGGCGAAAGTCTTTGCTCCCCCCCGCCTGCCTTCAAAAGCCGTCCGGGACAGCGCTGCGTTTCTCCGCTCTCCCGGGAAGGCAGGCAGGGGGGAACAAAGACTTTTGCCCCCCGCCGGCCTTCAGAAGGTGTTCCTGCCCCGCCGCCCGGCTTCGGAGCATCGTTCGGAAGCCAGGCGGCGGGGGAGGCGTTCCCGCCCCGCCGCCCGGCTTCGGAGCATCGTTCGGAAGCCGGGCGGCGGGGGGAGGTGTTCCCGCCCCGCCGCCCGGCTTCGGAGCATCGTTCCGAAGCCCGGCGGCGGCAGGAGGAGGTGTTCCCACCCCGCCGCCAGGCTTCGGAGGAGGTCCGAGGACAGTGGGGAAGACGCGCTGCGCTTCCCCGCTGTCCCGGAGATTTCCCTATGGGCTGTCGTCTTGCGAAGCAAGCCCATAGGGAAATTTGTTTTGCGAAGCGCCTCCAAAATGGAAAACCCTTTCGTCTAGCGGGTTTTCCGTCTTGCGAGGCGTTCGTCTTGCGGGGCACCACTGTAGATAAATAGGTACCACTCCAGAGGGAAGGTAAACGGCGTTTCCATGTGCTGCTCTGGCTTGCCAGAAGCGGCTTAGTCATGCTGGCCATATGACCTGGAAGCTGTACGCCGGCTCCCTTGGCCAATAAAGCGAGATGAGCGCCGCAACCCCAGAGTCGGCCACGACTGGACCTAATGGTCAGGGGTCCCTTTACCTTTACCTTTACCCTTCATGATACCCAACGTTCATGCCCAACGTGGGGCTCGAACCCTTGACCCTGAGATTAAAGGTCTCCTGCTCTACCACCTGAGCTATCCCAGCAGCCTATTATGTGTGAAGACCCAAAGGGATCCCATAATGGGATTTTAGAATAAGGGATAATTAATTGGCCCTCCCAATCATCGTCATTCCCAATTAACCCACAAAGCTTACTGTGTGACCTTGGGATGGCCATTCTCTCTTAGCCAAACCTATCTTACAGGGTTTTTGTGAAGATGTGGGAATAATAAGAGGTGGGAATAATGCATGTGGTATGAGGTCCTTGGTGGGATGCAAACAATTCCAAGCAGGAAAAAACATTGAGCCAGTGAAAGGTGTGTTCTGGTGAGAGGAGAATCATAAAACCTTAGAACTGTAGAGCTGGAAGGGACCCTGAGGGTCATCTAGTCCAACCCCATGCAATGCAGGAATCTGAAGCTGCCCCATATGGAGATCGAACCTGCAACCTTGACATTATCAGCACCACACTCTAACCAACTGAGAAGTAGCCTGGCAAGTGCTTCAAGGACCGCAGAGAAAGCCGTGGAGGGCCACATTTGGCCCCCAGGCCTGATGTTCCCCAGCCCTGCTTTGCAATGCTAAAAGCAGCACATATATTAACCCAGATCCCTTATTAATCTCCTGTTGCAGGTGAAGTGCAATCCCTTGCCCCAGGTCTGCTCATAGGATTGACTAAGTTTTCTGCAACCGGCCCATTTCATACTTCAAATGGAAGTGTAGCGAGAAGCAGCCGCAAGGGTACTTGTCTGAGGATGTGATGATTGTGATTTCTGACATTTCCCCTCTCACGGACGGAATTGTATATATGCCAAAGATATCTTTCAGAATTCAGGTCTTGATGACACAGGATTTGGCAACCTCTCCGCTAACATCAGACTTGGTTTTTACAAGGTGCCGTAAAATATATTTTTCTTTTTAAAAAAAAATGAAGTGAAAGCATCACACTGTGAAATGCAAATGCCAAATGGCATACCTCATAACTAAAGAGAAAGAATGGATGCGAAAGGAATCGTCTTCGTGGGCCAGAAACAGGGCAGCGTCTGAAAACATTCAAAATGAAAATTGTAAAAATCTGTAGCACTGCATTCTCATCCATCCCTGCAAAGTGTCTGCAAACTACCTCAGAGAAGGTTTTTACATAAATTGAGTTCTGTTTGCCTATATTTTTAGACTAAAATTCCTCCATGGAGCTCAGGGTGGTCCACCCATTTTATTCCCCCCTCTAGCCCTGTTAACTAAGCTGCGAAGAAATTAAGTACTGTCCCCAAATCACCCAGTGAGCTTTACGCTAGGGAGGATTTGAACCCAAGTCTCTCCAGTCCTTGTCGAACTTATGGAAAATCACATTCGCTGAACTCACTTCCAGTTCTGATTTGTTTTGATCGTTAGGGCTCTGGCTTGGCCATGTCAGCAGAATGGAAGATGGCAGGATCCCCAAGGATGTGCTCTAAGGGGAGCTATGCGAGGGGTTGGGGAATAATAATAATAATTTATTATTTGTACCCCGCCCATCTGGCTGAGTTTCCCCAGCCACTCTGGGCGGCTCCCATTCCAGTGTTAAAAACAGTACAGCATTAAATATTAAAAACTTCCCTAAACAAATCACATGGAATCCTAAAACACGCTTACTAAGAACAAATCACATGGAATTCACTTATCTCCAAGTAGACATGTTTAGGACTGCCCTATAAGGGATTGGTGTAACTTGAGACGGGAGTAAGGAAAACAGCCCATTAAATTTGGGTTGGTTTTATTTGCTCTGTTTTGTTTCACCTTAAGATAACAGCATGCCTCCTTCCAGGGAGCGCAGAAGTGGGTGCGGTTTGGGTGTAGGGCTCTGTCAGTGATCCCAGGGATTGTACCTGGAAAACTCTGCCACTGAGCTATGCACCAGGAGATGTGTGGGGTGATGGATGCACGTCACTATTGTGGCAGGCTTGGAGTTTATCAAAGCTGCATCAGGCGTGACCCAAGAGGAATAAGCAAGTCGCCCAGGTCTAGTTTTCATGGAGGCGGTAAAAATGCGTCTGGGTGGTTCACCTTTAGAATGCAGGTGAGACTCACTTGACTGAAAGCTCCTCTGTACAAAAGCAGTCCCTGTATATAGAAATCTACCAAGTCAGGGAAAGGGGCCAAATTAATACTAGGGCTTTTTTTTTTTGCACTTAATGCACATGTTTGTAAAAATACAAATTACATCTATTTTGGTTCTTAATGGCTGTAGGCACATCACGCCTTTGAAGCACATCCAAAGCACACAGACACAACCTTCAAATAATTCTGGGCACAGTAGTGTGTTAAGGGTTGCTGGGAAATGTATCAACAGTGCCTATAATCCTTTGAAGGGGAAATGTGCTTAAAAACACACACACAGAGTACTAGTCTAGCCTCCTCATCATCATCTATTTTTCTACATGGAGTGTGGAGGGGTTTCTTCTTCTTCTTTGTATGGCAGAACATTAAATCATGTTTGCTCCCACCTGCAGTTTACTCTGAAGTGCTATTACCCAGACACAGGGTTTTCCATCTCCGTAAGAACACGGCTTCTTCTAGCACATTTTGACAACTTGTCTACGGTGGATTGACCTATGCGTGGACAGCCTTTCCTGTCCAGAAAGATTTCCAGAATTCCAGTCCAAATTTAAGGTCTTGCAACGTTTTTCGAAGCTGACTCAACTTTTCAAAGGAAGAATGCAAGGCAGTCCTTCTAGGGCCATACCATTAAAATGCTAGAGGAAAACAATGCGCTTAGAAATTACTGTTACAACTGATTTAGCGATTTATGCCACACCTTATTTATAAAGAAACGTAAGGGGGGTTACATGCCAGGCATAGGAAGCTGAAAGGCCACACAACAGAGAGACGGGTAGGCAGGGAGTTTCTGATGAGAGGGAAAATACATGCCCACTTCCAAGGTATTTAAATATACCTTCCTGAAGAAACCAGAGGCCTTTCTCTTGGGCATGGTCAGCCAATTGGTGCCAAAGAAGGACAGAAACTTTTTTATGTATGCGACAACAGCAGCAAGGATATTGATTGCAAAGTATTGGAAGACACAAGAACTACCCACACTGGAAGAGTGGCAGACCAAGGTGATAGACTACATGGAATTGGCAGAAATGACTGGCAGAATCCGAGACCTGGGAGAAGAGTTGGTGGAGGAAGATTGGAAGAAATTTAAAGATTATCTGCAGAAATATTGTAAAATTAATGAATGTTAGAATGATGTTGGACTGAAAATAAGTGGTGTTGGCAATAAGAGTAATAAGAATATGTAAATATGGATTGACAATGGATGAAAATATATTGTTATAATAGGTTAAGACCAGAAGTTAAATGAAAGAAGGCAAGGATTTGCTGAAGCAATTATATAAATGGGAATACAAAAAGGGGAGGTGTGAGGAAGTCAAGAAAATAAGCAAATGAGTTTAATAATTTTGAAAACGGAATTTGTTCTTAAACTTTTTTCTTTTTTAGCTATTTTGTCTTTTTTGGTTTATGTATGTATTTTCTATTTGTATTTTTTTTTCTTAATTTTTCTACATTCTGTATTTTTTTTTAATATTGTAATTTTTTGTTTGTAACTTTTTTAATTTGCAAATTTATGTTTTTTTTCTCTCTTTTTTTTTTGAAAAATGCTTAATAAATATCTTATAAAAAAAATAAAAATACATGCCCACTTCCATCTCCCTCTCCCTGCATTCTGAATAGTCTGCTCTGGGCAGGCGTATACCTGCAGCACATGAGAATGACTTTAGGTGCACTGCTGCATTCATTGTGCTTACCTGCTCTGCACTTTCCCAAGCATTAACCAGCTTTAGTCAAACAAAAGTGCGCTGAAATAGTGCCTTTATAATACTTGCTTTGTTCGCAAATATACAAAATCAGCTACGTATGCCTTCAGGCGAAGCCAGAGTAGTGTAGTGTTTGAAGGGTCAAGAGTAAAAGCCGAGAGACCCAGGACCAAATTGTTCAGCCATGAAAGACACTGGGTAACCAGTCAGTCTCTCTCTCAGCCTCACCTATGTACCGTGCAAGGCTGTTGTTGTGCTACCTTGAGCTTCTGGAAGAAAGGTGGGGCATGCATGTTTTAATTAGAGTTGCCACCATGTTTCAAACAGTGAAAATCTGGACAGAAAAGTTGTTGAGCATTTTTTGGGCAGAGTTCTTGAGCTTTATTCGCCAGAAACGACACTGCCGAAATAGATTGCCATATGTTCGGATTTTCCTGGGCATTTTCGCAATTTCCACCCCAAACGTATGGTAACCCTAGTTACCGTATTTTTTGCTCTGTAAGACTCACTTTCCCCCTCCTAAAAAGTAAGGGGAAATGTGTGTGCATCTTATGGAGCGAATGCAGGCTGCGCAGCTATCCCAGAAGCCAGAACAGCAAGAGGGATTGCTGCTTTCACTGCGCAGCGATCCCTCTTGCTGTTCTGGCTTCTGAGATTCAGAATATATTTTTTCTTGTTTCCCTCCTCCAAAAACTAGGTGCGTCTTGTGGTCTGGTGCGTCTTATAGAGCGAAAAATACAGTAATAAATGTCCCCTCCAGCTCAGTCCCCTATTGTTTCCAATACAGCAAAATGCAGTGCTCTTTGTCTGAGTCTCCCGAGATTCAGGCTTACTGCACCTTCCCTGCCCTTCCCATAGGCTCCGATTCACATCACATCCCAATGGCAGGAGAGACAGAGAAACAGAGAGATTTCCAGATGACCAAGTGAAACACTGCCACTCACCAGTCCATTAAGAAACATTTGTCAAACCCTCAGCCACACCTAACGTGTGTTGGGCAAAAATCATAATGAAGCCTATTTGTGCAATCTGAGATAGTAAAATGTTGTAACCAATGCTATGAAGATGCCATTATGAAAGAAGAGACTGGCACCATGATGCGATATAGAAAAGGAGGTTGCCTTTCTGCCTTCCCTTGCTCCATATGGACTGGAAATCTTGCATGACTCAAGTTATTTCCATGGCTGGAGCCTTTCTGCAAAACACCCACTCCCTGATTGGCCTGTAGCGCATAGGACTGCCGTTGCTGTTTCTGTGCAAGACTGTTAAGGTGGACAATGCTCTTGGCTCCCACAGCTGGGACAAAGAAGCTATTTCTTTGATTTTTATGATTCTTAGGTATGCTGGACACAAGCCATTTAGGCCAAGTAAACAAGTGCTGTTGTCTCGGGATAACACTGAAATCAGCAACCCTTGGAACAATCTCAAGGATGCCGGAGAAGATCAATAAGCTGCAACTAACTTGGCAATTCAGCACCCACACTTACACTTAACGTCTTCTAGAGAAATCAGTTCCTTTTGCAATCGCTTCAACACCCGGGGCGACTTATCTTCTTGGATACTTCTCCGTACGGCAAAGATATCTCGGAAAAAAACAGGATCCGGTCTGCAGATAAAATGGAGGGTGGGTAGGACTTGCATTTCATTTAATTGGACACATGCCAAGGCAACTCTGGAGCTAAACTCTGGGATGTTCTCTTTCCAGGTAACCTTGATTACGTTGAAAACAAAGGCAGAATTCAGCCTTCTATGGGCACATGAAGCTTCCTAACTGGTCTCTCGAGCCTTTAATATCCACAAAGGGGCGGCACTTAGGACATCCACAACACGCATTTAAAGCACTGTCATACTACTTTAACAGCCATAGCTCCCTCCCCCAAGAATCCTGGGAACTGTAGTTTGAGGGTGTTGGGAACTGTAGTTCCAAGAGGAGATTCCTAGCAACTACAGTTCCCAGAATTCTTTGGGGGAAACCAGGACTGATTGAAGTAGCATAAGAGGGCTTTGAATGTATGGTGCGGATGTGACCTGGAGGGGAAACTCTTTGCAAGACGCAGTGATGAAAACGGCCCAGTTTGTGCAGCCGTCTTCCCATCCTACCGATGCAGATGGCCTGTGGACCCGTTCTTTCTCATATTTGAGGGTGTGGATCCTCAAATGATCAATTGTAGTTAAGGCATTATGGGATGCAGGTGCAGAAGAGGGGAGGGTAGATACATCAGATGTATGTATGGTGTACACATCAGCAAAAAAGCAGGCCTGCGATGTTGTGTTGCTATTGTTCCCATTTTACAGACAGGGAAGTGGGGGCAAACAAGCAGCTTGCCCAAACATGTTTGCAGCTAAGCAGGCACAGAGGTGGCCCATGACATTGGGGCACAAAATCCGAATGGCAACCCTCGTGGCAATGGCAACAATATTATAATAGACCAAATAATTGACCTTTAATGGTGCACTTGAGGCAGTCCACCTCACTCTACCTAGAATGAATTGGAACTCCTGTCTCAAGAGTCACAAAGGAGAACTTTTTAAAACCAATAATTTTATTTTAAAAAAAATAAATAAATTGGTGACATCAGTGGGATTCCCTTACCATCCAGGTCAGGCTCAGACCATTTCTCCATCTAGCCCAATACTGCCTACCCTGGCAGGCAGCAGCTCTCCAGGATCTCAGGCCTTGGTCTTTGCTGGGGATCAAACCTAGGGCCTTCTGCATTGAGCTATGTTCCATCCCCAAAGGTACGTCCAGTCTCTTCCCCTTCCCCAAATACAGGATTTGCGTGGGATTTGAATCCAGGACTTCTTACACCCTTGCCAAGACCACAGACTATAGTCTGGGCATTTCAAACTCTGCTGATTTTTAAAGTGGGTCACCTGTCTGGCGTTTTGGTGGCCGTCTCTTGGAAGTGGATGGTTTTCCCTTTCTTTGACTTCTTCTCCACTTCCTTATCTTCCTCCTTAGGCTGAGCACTGCAATACCAAACAGAGGGGAGTTTTCGGTAATGGCAGTGGCAATTCATACAACTACACAGGAAAGAGAGCTCACCCTGCATCTCTCAACCACAGAGTGAGCCCAGCAGAGAGGAATGGCAGCAAGTCCAGTGCCAGTTTAGGATGCAATCTTGCCCCTGCCTGCTATAATTCAGCTGGGATACTTGGTTTTTTTAATTTTCCAAAGCCCCAGCATCCACAACATTTCTGAGTTGATCTGTTCCTCCTCCATCCTTAATAATCCCCCCCCCAAAAAAAATGAATACCGAAGGCGAGGGGGAAACAGCTTCAGGGATTGGACAGATGGTTCTTTATGACATCACAGCATGCTCAACCAATCAGCGTGGGGTATCTTCTGCTTCAAAATTACAGAGATGTTTTCATCTTTTATTCTTGCAGAGATTGAAGGAATGGGTATGTTTGGACCAATTGCACTTAGGGAGAGATGAGGCATACTACTAGATGCTTTCACAGTTGGAAAGAGCGGCATCCTGCAAACTCAGGCTCTTTTTAATTGTCACTCTTTGTTTACTGTGGAATACCTCTTCTTACCTCCCATCCCTGCCAAGGGTTCTATCAGGCCTGACATTTGCCTCCTTTCAGAGGCAAAGAAAAAACATTTCAGTTCCTCCATGCTTTTGGAAAACAAGGATTCTATTTACTAAAATGTATTGGTTTCATCCTGCTGATTATGATCTGCTATTGTTGGAAATGTTGTAGATTCCATTGGTTTTATTGATTTTAATGGACTGTGCATGGAGGGGGGGAAATCTTGCTGCAAGGCCATACACTTCATAAACTAGCTCACTGGCAAATGATACGAAATCACGACAACCACAAACAGAAACGCAACCAAGTCAGACAGAAAGGGACACTGAATCCTTACCATGCAAATTCAAGACTTCGGCTGTCATCTTTCCAGTACCACAAGCCAGGGTTAACTTTCGTGAACTGCAAACATTTTGGAATACACAAGTATCGAGGCGTTAATTTAAACCATTTCATCATTTTCATGTTCGATTTTCAGCTCCAAAAACTCCAGCGAGCTCATAAGCCTGACCGATAAGCCCAATGCCATGTGCTTCTGAAGATGGGTGATCTAATGTACGCCCAAAACCAGGGCTGTAACAATCACTGGGACATTGTCAAGCAATCTCCAGGGATATTATTTCATGGTATTATTCTAAAAAAAGACTGATGTCGTGAGCCACCAAGCCTTAGGAAGACAACTTTTCCTAAAGGCTTCCACAATATTGGCCACCGGTGTATATAAAGGCCAGGGGTCCATCTAATAATCCTAATCCTAATAATCAAGACATTGACTGAATATTTCCAACTGCCTATTTAAAAACAGCAACAACCGGAGTTGACTGGTCGTTTCAAGTTTGTGACCATCAGACACACTATGGATAGGGATGGAAGGCGGAATAAATATATATGAGCACATATAGTGTTGTCCGACCTGTGGGGTGGCCTCTCATCAGATGTCAATGAGATAAATAATTATACAGCTTTTAGGAGACATCTGAAGGCAGTCCTGTATCAGGAAGTTTTTAATGTTTGAGGTTTTATTATGTTGGAAGCTGCCCAGAGTGGTTGGGACAACCCAGTCAGTTGGGCGAGATACACAAATAATAATAATAATAATAATAATAATAATGGCAAGCCAGTTGTATTCCTCAAGTAAGATTTAATTCATAAAAGGTTAGACAGCCAACATAGTGCAGTGGTTAAAGTGTCTGCCTGGGACCTGCGAGACCAGGGTTCAAATCCCGACTCAGCCATGAAGTTCACTGGGTGAGGGGCGGAGGGTGGGGTCCCCAATGTAGGCCCTTTGGGGGGCTTTTGGAAGAAAGGTGGGGTAGAAATGTAATAAGTAAATAAACGAAGCTCCTGAATTGTGGATGCAAGAGTGTGTGCCTCTAACATTTGGGTTTGAAGAGGGGATTTTGACAGGTGAAGGTTGCATGGCGACCCAGCTATGAAAGGTGCAAGGGCGGATTTAGGTTTGGGGAGGCCCTCAGCTACTGAAGGTAATGGGGCCCTTTATATGTCCAGCTGTCCGTTGTCAACAAATTGTCGCTGTTTTTTGTGTTGAATATATGCTATATGGTAATTTATGGACCTGATAGGTATCTAAAGCCATTTGCACATAACAAAATATGTATTTTTATCAAAGTAATTGTTGAATTGAACTACAATTAAGAAGAAGTATATTAATGGTGAAATACAATTAAGAAGAAGTATATTAATAGTGAAATAATTATTAAGCTCTAACTTAAAATGATTTTTTTTATTTATAACAAACTTAATAATGCAAAAACAGTGTTGCTGTATGTTTTATTGTATTTGTTTTTTATCTTATATTTTGGAAATGTACATCCAGGTTTTTTTCCCTTTAAATTTTTTTGGGGGCCCCCAAGAGAGCGGGGCCCTAAGCTATAGCTTGTTTAGCTTATACGTAAATCCGGCACTGGGTGCAAGACCCAACCTGGTCATATCCAACCTTGGGCTTTTTTTAAAAAAAAGAAAAAAAGTAATATCTGCAAACTCCCACCCCACCCCCAAGAAGTTCCACAGTAACTGGACACATCCAGGAATGCAAACTTACTTACAGGCACTATATGTCCCTTGGGCAGCTCCAGGAACTGTAGCTGAGACATGGCGACACTTTGTTTACTGAGAGAGTATCCTGGCAACAGTTCTCTGTCTCTCTTTCCATCTTGAATAGAAGGGTCGGCTCTTCCGCTGGAGACTACAAGTCCCATCATGCAACGCGGCAGGCATGCCCCTTTTTTTTGGTCTGTCTGCGTGGTGGCTTTTGGCTCTCTTTTTCCAACCAAAGGGCGTCCTCAGAAATTATCCCATTTGCGAACCCCCTTCCCAGATACGTGTGAACAGGACGCCCGCGTTTCGTGTCGCAGGCGGCTTTCCTTTAAAATAGCCCGTCCGACACACTGACTGGTTTCAGAAATAGGTGCTACTTCTGAGCAGGATTGCTTGCTTTCTGAGTCAACTGCCTGCGCTCATTTTTCTCTCACACACACACATATATATGTGTGTAATATTTATTTATCTGTTTTATTTTACGCGTTAAATTTCAGTACCACCCTCCCTCCCCAAAGGAGCCGAGGGCGTCAAGCAGCAAAGCAGCACCACTGAAAAATAATTTTTAAAAAATGTTTTAACACTGAGCATCTTAAAACAATCATACAGCCACACCATGATTTCAAGGTTGCCAGGATCAATGATCTTTTCAGCCATCAAATGCCTGGGTGAACTGGAATGTGGTAGTTGTTGTTTTTTTAAGTCCCTGAATGTTAATAATGCTCCTAGGCTGGGGGAGTTTTCCACAGATGAGCCACTACCAAAAGGGCCTTGCCGCAGGTAGTGCCAACCTGGCAGCAGTGTTACAAAATCGGATTTAGTTCGTGTTTAATATGTATTTAACTTTAAATGTATTAAGCTACCTGCACTGAGGTTTTGGCTGTTATGCATTGATGCACACACAGAGAGGCTTGCACTGGGAGAGTAGAGCGGACTGCAAACATGGCATCAGAATGACTTTGACTCATGCCCAAGAAGAGGGTGTCACCTTACGTTCCCACCCATTCGCACACCTAAATCCTCCCCAATTCCTTTCATTAAATCGTGCGTCCCTGCTGAAAGAGCTTGCTGATGGTGGCTCAGGTCCCTGCGCAACGCCGGCTCTGAGCTCAGCTTACTTCTCTGCCTGCGCCCTGTGACCTTTTTTAAACAACAGCACACTGTATGTTGTGTTTGCAGTTGCTATTGTGGGCTGCCAAGGATATTCTGGAGCCTTGGCAGCAATGCCGCATATTTATCAAGAACAAGAAGAGAAGCAGATTTGGAAACAAACGAGGTTTTGGAGTTGCGTCGAGGCAGCGCTTCAAAACCAGTATCAAAAACAGGGTAAAAAGAAAGAGGCACAGTGAAGATAAATGCTTCTGTCATCAGCATGTGCTTATTAAGTCTGGCTATTCAGTTATCAAAAGCCTCCAATCTTTTCAGACCCAGGCCCCCACTGTTTAACCCAAACATGCATTTGGAGACCTGTTTCTTAATCATTGTTTTTTACCATATGTATGTATGGTGCTAATTCTGCTGTTGCAAATCACCTTTGATCAGTCTCTGACCCAGCAGTCGGTCTGACTCCCAACTCAGCAACTGAAGAAGAACGAGTTAGATAAACCACTTTTAAAACATACTGTATCGATGAACTAAAAAGGTGCCCTCAATTAAATCAACAGATTTAATTTACTTCCTGATAATAACTGCAGCTTGCAAGTGTTACCTCAGAAGAGGAATGCCTCTTTTCAGGCAAGATCTACTGGGACACATCATTTAAATACAAAACAATGCATCCCTACTTCCCCCCTTTCATATGCAAATTTATGCAGCTGCATCAGTTAGCTGACTTAAACGCTCATGCTCAATTAAATAATATTTTTTTAATTGGGTGCAGATCTTCCAAATGTCCCTATTTTCCAGGGACAATCCTGGAGTTACAGAAGCCATCCCAGTTCCTGATTTGATCTCGCAATGTCCCGCTTTTCCTTAGGACGTCCCTATTTTCATTGGAGGAATGTTGGAGGCTATGGAGTTATGTGACCCCCAAGTTAAGGAGATAAGCAACTATACAGCCTTTAGAAGACATCTGAAGGCAGCCCTGTATAGGGAAGTTTTTAAATGTTTAATGTTTTATTATGATTTTATATGTGCTGGAATCCACCCAAAGTGGCTGGGGCAACCCAGTCAGGTGAGCGGGGTATTAAGAGTTAAATCATTGTTGTTGTTGTGTGGTGTTGAATAGGATGTTCCTATTTTCATTGGAGAAACATCAGAGGATATGTGGCTGATGGCTTTACTTGTAATGATTTGCACCCTAGGTTTTTGGACTCAAATATGCAGTGTCCATATACCTCAGAAAAAAGAACAGTGTTTCTTAGTTACAGACCTGAAAGGTTTGTGTTAAATAAACATGTGTTACATAATCCTGTATATCATAGCTTTTATTTAAACTAATAAGCCTTAAACTCTCCCTGCAAAAGCATTGTGTCTGGGGAATGCCTTGCATTCCACGGAGGAAGACCAAAATAAAATGGAAATGCCTTCAGGTCTTGGCCCTCGAAAAGTCTGTGGATGTCAGCTCTGGTTTCCTAGGGAATTATTACGGCACAACTACCTTTGCACTCGACTATGCAGCGCTGAATTCGTTCCCTGCACAGCAGCTGCCGTTCTGTTTATTTCTGTATTGGCCGCTTACCTGCCAAATGTTCCCTTCCTGTTCTCAATAAGCAGTTCCTTGCCTCAGGGACAGAAACCAAGAACATTAAACTCACCCTGATCTGCTCTTCTGTACTTTTCCATTTGACCCAGCTCATCCTCTGCCATCAGGTGCTGTTGGTGTCAGGGTGTGTGTGTGTGTTAGGGGTAGCATTTTTTTTGGCAGGAAGAACAGAGAAAGGCTTGGCAGGTAGAATGATTGGAAGGGGTGGGGGACAGGATTAAATGGCTCAAGAATCCTTGTTAATGAAGCTAATCCTTGGGGTGCCAGTTACTTTTTGGCCCCCATGCAATGCTCTTTTCTTCTCATACATTATACAGTATCACACATGACTAACCACATCCGCATAGTAGAGAAGGGAAACGAACTTTCTGGGCAACATTGTACGGATTGCTTGCCAATTTAGGGTGGAGCAACGAGTGTGAATTTTACCTTTGAAAAGGAAGCTGGTTTCTGCACGCCCAGGTGCCTTCAGTGACAAATTATTAAAGAAAGCCAATCCACTGTATGAGTTTTAACCAGCTAATTTGCGTAAGGGCACACACACCACCTCCGAAGTAAGAAACATCTTCTCTTTGCTCTTAGAGGGGAATCTCCGGCCTGCCAGCATGGTCAGCCGTCAGGAGCGATGGGAACTGGCGGCCAGGAACATCCGAGGGCCACAGATTCCCCACCCATTTTGGACGCTTCTGAGCACAATTCAAAATGTTGGTACTGACCTTTAAAGCTCTAAATGGCCACCGGCCCTGTATACCTGAAAGAGCGTCTCCATCCCCGTCATTCAGCCCGAACACTGAAGTCCAACTCTGAGGGCCTCCTGGTGGTTCTCTGCCTGAGAGAAGTGAGGTTACAGGGAACCAGGCAGAAGAGCCTTCTCAGCAGTTGCACCCTCTTGTGTGGAATGGCCTCCCATCAGATGTCAAGGAGAGCAGACATCCGAAGGCAGCCCTGTATAGGAAAGCTTTTAATGTTTGACGTTTTATTATAGTTCTATATGTTCTGGAAGCCACCCAGAGTGACAAATAATGAAATTACCGTGGACGCTCGGTTTGCAAATGTGATCCATGTGGAAAGCACGTTCGCAACCCGCAGCGCCACATCTGCGCACGCGTGGGTTGCAATTCAGCGCTTCTGTGCATGTGCAAAGCGCCGAAACCCAGAAGTAACCCGTCCCGGTACTTCCAGGTTCGGCGTGGTGCGCAAGCCGAAATCGCGCAACCCAAAGCGTCTGTAACCTGAGGTTACGACCCCAGCTGCTTCTTCTCCATTACAATGTGGGGAGAGGAGGGTATGTGCTTAACCCTTCTCCCTAACCTGATCCCCTGCCTCCCCCTCCCCCCCCAAAAACTCTGCTGTTAACTTTCCTAAACTGGGTTTCCTCAATGCATGTACTATACTGCATAAGTTCCCATGGAAAAGTGATGGGGAGGGGGAAGGCATAAGCCCCTTCCACACATGCTGCTTCTCCTCTTCAAAAATACACACACACACACACACAGTTATTTTGAAGCCGAGGAGTGGCCAGAGTTTCCAGATCTGTGTTTGCTACTGAACACACAAGTTGGTCCATAATTGTACTGCTTCATGTGTTGAAGGCGGCTACCCTCCGCCATGCCAAAGCCACAGCTAGGGCTGCACAGAGCTATTCTGGCTGAAGTTCATGGCCAGCAGCAACACTGGCTCTACATTAAAGCCTTCAGTAAGAAAAAGTTTCAATTAGCATGGAGTGCCACTTATGGGAAGGGAATGTAACTTTTAAAAACCTGAATAGCCAGCTGCTCACAGTAATAAAAGGCTCCCTACCCCTCTCTGCTCCTCTTTTTATTTTTATTTGTTAATTTAAGTTGGTGCCAACTATTTTGATGCTGCTGGGAATGCATGCTGCGGTTGTTCTAGCTGCTAACCTTTGATTGTGAACACGCCACAAGGAGAAAACAACATTAAGGGCAGACAGATTTCTTAGCACCGTATACACAATTTGGCTTTCTGCTCCAGCATTTTGCAGAATCATCTCCACTCATCATTCATATAGCGTTTTGGGTCACAGGCATCCTGATTCATCCGCTTTAATGTCCCTGTGCATTATTAAAAAGGCCCATTTGGCAGATGAAAAGCCAAATGGCCGAGAGAAAGCAAATTGCTCAAGAGCACAGAGAGACAATACAGTTTAACTGGCGTTCTATTCCAGTACTCCCAGGTTCTTGTGCAAAACGCTAATCACAGGATTCGCCCCCATTGGCAAAGTCTTTGTGTATATTACTGGCTTAAAATGCAGCGAGGTGCTTTGCTGGAAGTATTTAAAATTTTTTTGCTGCATTTCAAATGGCATGCTCATCACTGTGCACATCAGTCAAGCTGCACATGTTTCCAAGTTGCCCAACATTGGTCTGCGCCAGTAGGTGGAGAGGTGGCATGGATGCTTTCATGTAGCTTAAGTTTTCAAATCGGATCGAAGCTGGTTTTGAGGGGAATGCATCAAAATACAGTATTCTTCAAGAAACTGCAGGGTAGATGGAGATTGTGGCCAATGCCATGTGTATACAGCTTCACAAACCAGAAGGGGGGTGGGGACGGGACATGGGATGCAGAGCAAATAAGAGTGTGTACACAGCCAAAGACAAAAGAAGTCAGACTTTCAAAAAAATCTATGGCGCTCTTGTTGCCTACCTTTATGATAGGATAATA